CTTCCACAGGCCTTTAAAACTCAATCAGGTGGGCTTCCCCTGGTGGTGCAGAGGTTGAGCGCTGGGCTGAGAGGCTGCCTGCAGCCTCTGCAGCGCCGGTTCGTTCCCCGGCCGCCGGCAAGGGTCCCACAACCAAACACACAAACAAACAAAAAAAACCAACTCAATCAGGTGCCAGCTCTGCTAGGGAGCCTTTCCTGACCATCATCCCACCCCAGTCCTCCCTGCCCCTCCAGTCCCTCTGGGATTAGGGGGCCCTTCCTCTGTTCCCCAAGTTAATCAGTTCACCTCTGTTATTTGAATTACAACATTCTGTATTAAGCTCTTCTGCTTCTACCTGTGGCATTTTCTAGTGGCGTGCAAACTCTTTGAGGCCATGTTTATCTGTCTGAAAAATTCACTTGTACTTCCTCAGGCCCTGGGGAATGAATGAATGAGCAAAAGATTCCTGCCACCTGCTCCTCCCAGCCTCTCCTGGAAACTCTATAGGGCGTGGCCTCATTTTATGAAAGTAGGCATTATGTTTTGGCCACCTCTGGCTTGCTAGTAACACCGTGAGAAGAGTGATTTTGTATATTTACTGAGAAAAAAATTCAAATATGGTGCTTTGAAAAAGAAAGGAGACGAAAAAAGCTCCCAGCTTATTTGCAGGCACTGACTGCTCCCACCTGCAGCCCGTGCAGCCCTGTCAGGGCTCTATCTTTTTCTCTTCTCCCCTCTGGAGACAGAGCTGATGTTGCCTAGTCTGCCTTGTTAATCTGGGGGATAAGTAAGCAGTCGAAATCAAAATATGTGTGCGCCACCTAATCCTCTCTCCCAAAGGTTAGAAGTCGTTGCTTTTTCAGTGCTACCCTTTCATTAAAATTCTTTCCCCCAATCCCTTCTCAGAGTACTGCCACCAAACCACCTTACAAGCTGACAGTTCCGCAGCTTGTCACACCTATGTATGTACTCTGCGCTGTCACACCTTCCGCACGCAGGCCTAGAGGCAGTGTGGCAGCCACACTTCCTGGTTACTTTTGCTGGGACAGCACCTCACAAATACACTTGCTCGCTTTTCGGTAAGTAGTGGCTCTTCTCAAATTTTGAGAACTTGTAAGTAAAAATATTTGACACATTTTGTGGGCACTTCTGAAATAGACTGACCAGTGACTCACAGGCGCCCTGCTGTCTGTAAGGGCGAGTACTTAACCATTTCAGGTGGGAAGACTTACAAGCAAGTTAAGCGCTAAGACTTTTTATTTTTTAAGAACAGAAAAGGCAGATTTATTGAAATACCCTGCAAAGGAGAGGTCTCTCTAAGCTCTACGACTTAATAAGGAAAAGCTAAGAGGTCTAGGTCTCTGGAAATATGACGGGCATGAAATTTTTCTTAAGCCTTGAATCTCAACATGGAAGGCTTATTCATAATTGCAATCTGCAAGCTAGAAACACATTTTCTTTGATCAGTGTTTAATGTCAACAGACGACATCTTTCTAAACAATAAAGCCCACATTGACGCTTAGGAGCATTTCCTTCATTTTTAAGCTGTTTGCACATTTAGTACAGCTTGTCTTCTTCACCACCAAAAAGACACAACTGGCTGACATACACATCGAGCCAGCCAGGCGTTTCTCAGCCCCGTCCCGAGCCTGTCTACGCTCATCTCCTCTGCATGGTGCGAGCATAGTATGTTGTCGTATCAAACCTGTAAGAGTGCAATGGACGTGATCTAAATGAGGCAGAAGCAAAATGATAGACTCTAAGTCTAAAACTCTTTAGGGATGAAAAGTCAAGCCACAGAAGACTTCCCACCCCTAGATATTACTGAGAACCCTCACTGCACCAAAAATTGTGATTTTCATACCCAAAGAGCATGCCTGTAGATAAATCTGTTGCTACTACTGGAGATTTTCTCTCCTCAAAATCAAGTGAATGTTGAATTTTTCAGATGCCTTTTCCTTTTACACGCTTGTGTTTTACTTGCCATCATTTCCTATTTGGAGACCTTCCTTCTGGAATAAATCATAGTCAAAAAAAAAAAAAAACCCAGCAAAACACTATTGGTACTGTACTAACAATTTAAATTTTGCAGTTGGCTTCCAAAGGAACGTGCCTCTACAAAGGTCTTCAGCTCTGCACACATCATCTCGAGTCACCTCTAGCACTTTGCCACGCGAGAGACTTACCCTAGAAGAGGTTAACTTCTCTGCCTCGAGCTCTGGCGTGGTGCCCTAAACAAATGAACCAACAGTCTTGTCAGCCCTCCAGAGGGCTGTTGCGACTGTTGTCACTCACCCAAGATACCTGCCGAGAGGCAAGGATGACCGCAGGAATGAATACATTAAGAGGTCCTCAAGGTGACAAAAGTTGCCTCCCGCTGACACGTGACAAACGTGCTTTGTTTAATCTCCCTAATGAAATCCCAAGGAAAATATCAATCCTGCCGCTAATGACAATAAACGGGCTTAGCACTCTCAGCGCGCTTCCCCCCCGGGAGCACGAAGCTCTTCACGATTAATTGTTTCAGCCATCCCCGCTCCTCCCGTGAGGTGGCGGCTGAGTGCTTTGTCTTACAACAAATATAAATACAGGTAACGAATTGGGTCTTCGCTGTTCTACGTCCCATGTTCTAGAACTGGGTGGAACTTTGCAAAGACCATCTGTGTGTGTGCTGGTGGGACCTGGTTTCACAACGACCTGCGGACGCCGGGCTCGGGGCAGATGTGGAGCGGTCAAGTTGGCGGGCACTCAGATGACCGTCTGGCCAGAGGCTCTGAGCGGCCTAGTCTAGCGCTGACCCAGGGAGACGGCCAATGGCTGAGCTAGTGCGGGGTGCCTCCAGTGCCAGTGGGGACCCATGGTGTTGAGGGTTAGTTTGGGGGCATAGTTCACAGGGGCTCCTCTTGGGTCTAGTCTTCCCACACTTTGTGCTGGGGGCAACAAGAAGTCCCGCCAAAGGGGCCTGGTATTTTGAATCCTGCCCTAAGCTGTTAGGGCTGGGGACATCGCCGCCTCTGCCCATCTCCACCCTCCGTTTCTCTCCGGACCCACTTTCCTCTTGCCTTCATCTCTTCAGAAATAGGCAGCGCTCTCTGGGCACACATGTTGAGTGTCACCCTAAGCTTGTGCCTGTGCAGTGAATGGCCCAGGCTGCTCCATCCGGTCTGTAGTCAGGACAGGACCACAGTGCAGGTTTTATATGATCCAGCAGACCGGGTAAAGGAGGAGTCAGAGTCCTCAGTGGCTTTTGCAGGCCTTTTATTGGGATTTACCATGTACATGGCAAGTAGAGGGGCCAGGGGGCCGGGAGGCTGGCAGGCCTCGCAGCCCCCAGCAAGCCTTCACTCTGGGCTCTCCGACCTTCTCTCACATTCTCTCTGCTCTTCTCATGGCTCTGCTTCTCTCTTGGCTTCTGCTGCTTCTTTCTCGGCTTCTCTTTCGGCTTCTCCTCGGCTTCTACTGGCGTCCCAGTGACGCCACCCTTAAAAGCCCAGGTGAATCCCATCTACCTATGCCCACACCCTACTCCAGATGCCTGCCATCAGGCATGCATTGAGGACCGCAAGGATCCTTCATCCATCCTAATGGCGGGAGGGCAGAAAAGGCTGATACCTTTTACCTACCCTACACGGTCCACTTAGCTCTGTCTCTTCCACGAGACACAAGCCCTCTGGGGTAGTGTTGGGATCAGGGTCTTTAGTTTTTGGTTTTGTTTTTTCCAGTCCTTTAAATTGTTTGACACATCCCTCAGCCATACACCCTCGTGGTGCATCTATTTACCATCCTTAACAGCCCACAGATATTGCCAAATATGTACATAGTGACTGTGCCATTTTAGTCCCCCCCCCTTTTTTTTTTTTTTGGTTAAATAAAGACTTAGCTGCCACCCCGTGGAGTTTCTCCTCCTCCTATTTTCCTGAGGTCTCCCAGCAAGGGAGACCTTAAAAATGCAAAGACCAAGCTGAAGCTGTGTGGCAGACTCAGGGTGGGGACTAATGACGAGGTTGGAAGCCTCCGCAGGTGGCTGGGGTGACTGCGGGATGAAAATACTGCTTTCCCAAATTGAGAACAGCTGGGGCCGTGTGTGCGCCAAGTATAAAAGGCTGGGCGGCCAGGCTGTGCTGTGAGAAGGCTTTGCGCTGGGGAGCCCAACGGGGAGCTCACCCCAGAGGCACCAGGGCTCTGTGGTCCAGTGGGTAAGTGCAGCGGAGCCTCCCGCTCCTGCTGTCTGGAAGACACGGTGGTGGCTGCATCAATGTGCTGTTAGCTACTAACGTGCCTGTTACTTGTAGTGAATTATTCAATCATTCCAGTAACTCGGAGGATTTGTTACCTGAGTAAGACAGAGCTGAGGCTTTCTGCATCTCTTCATGGGGTTATTTTGAAGGCCGTCAGCTTTCCTTGTGTTTGATGTGTATTTGTGAGCTAGGACAAGGTAAACTGAGGCAGCATGGCTTTAATATACTGAACATGTCGTTGTTGGATCAAATCTGAGCAGTGGTTGCTTAGAAAGGCTCTAGTTTTTTAATGAGAAAGTAGAAAACTGTTGAGCAATGTGGAGAGTGACAATTACTGGATGCACATTAACCTGACACCAGTTTTTATTCTTTACGGTGGACAGAAAAGATGCAGTCTGAGGGAGGAATGATGTGACCCCTCGGGAGGTTCTAGCTTATTGTGACTTCATGGTTAGCAACAAGTCATGGTGTTTGACGCAGTATTTGCAATGTTGGGTCTTGACTTTTTTTTTTTTTAAGGCATTTAGGAGGACTTGACTAGTAGGAATGTTGCCAGTTATATGGACATTCGCTCAAAGGGAGACAAGAATCCCAAGATAAAGCAAGTCGATGCTTTACAAATAAGCTCCATCCCAGCAGCTCTGGCTGTGTGCTGACCATGTATTCAGAAAGCACATGGCTTTGGTATTTGTTTCCTTAGATTAATCATGTTTCCATTTTGGACGGTTGCCAGTCGGACAAGCCCATTTCCCGAACGTTGTTTTCTCTTGTTCTTCCAGGTGGGATAGCAGCATCTTCGGGGCACACGCCATCGGCCGCCGGGCCTGAGAGCGGCGTCTGCGCAGCTGCATGGGAGGCCCCGCCGCGCCCCAGCCGCCGCCTGCGCCCTGCACCCGCCGACAGGGGGGCACCCAGAGTCCATGCTGAGCTGCCCGCAGGGAGGACCCCACCAAGAGCAAGCGCTCTGCCGCCTCGTTGTTGATCTGAAGACGGGACAATGGATGTCATAGAGACAGCGAAGCTCGACGAACACAGGGAAAGCCAGGCCAGCCACCCTGCGGACACTTACACCAGCCCCGCCGAGCTGGCGGAAGAGGAAGGCAAAAATGGCAACGACAAAGCCAAGAGCTTACCCAATGGGCTGCGGAAGGGCCCCAAGAAGTACCCAGACTACATCCACATTTCCATGCCCACGGAGCTGCGGAACAAGTTCCCCCCGGAGTGGTGGAAGACCGGCATCGCGTTCGTGTACGCGCTCTTCAACCTGGTGCTCACCACCGTCATGATCACCGTGGTGCACGAGCGCGTGCCCCCCAAGGAGCTCAGCCCGCCCCTCCCGGACAAGTTCTTCGACTACATCGACCGGGTGAAATGGGCGTTTTCTGTATCAGAAATAAATGGGATTATCCTCGTTGGATTGTGGGTCGCCCAGTGGCTGTTTCTGAGATACAAGTAAGTGGGGCTGGCACGGGTGGGGGTTGGCCTGGCCGGGTGGAAGTGGGTGGGCGTGTGCTGGCCGGGGTCCTGCCCGCTCCTCTAACCGTTCAGATGCCGGAGGAGAGGAAGTAAGCCAGAGACCTCCTGCCCTGAACAAACCGGGTCTGTTGGCCGGGTACCCCTTCCTTGAGCCACTTTGTATGAAAGTGTCAGTTAGGGATGCAGTTGCCCATCGCTTTGGTGGGTGATTCAGACTTTGTGCATTGAAGGTGCCCTTGTGATTGCAACAACTTGTCTGCAAAATCAAGACACTTGAAAAAGAATGACATGCCCTTCGTCACTCCTGTGTTGCTTTAGGCTCAAGACAGGTGGGGCAAGCCCCCCCCCCCGCCCCCGCCCTCAGCCTGTGCCCCCACAATGGGACAGCTGTGTGGGTCTGCAGCCCACAGCGAGCGTCGCGGCTGGCTTGGGTTTGGGAGTTCTCAAACAGTGTCTGTCTTTTTCCTTTGCCTGTTGGCAGCCTGGTCAGAGTTTGTTTAAGAAACTGGATTTAGATGTGGGTCCCTGCGGTTTGGGTTTTGGATTTCTAAAGTAAACGAGCCTTCTGGTTTCCCCGCGGCACCACAGAGGCGCTCTCAGTGCGCTGGTCTGTCTCCCGGTTTGGACTAGCAGGAACCAGGAAGCTCCACGCCAGGTCTTTCTGCTTTGAAGACACTTAAAAATAGGCCATAGCTCTGAAATGGCAATTTCTGCTTCCATGTGAATTCTGACTCCTAGTCCATCCAAAATAAGGTCTCTCAATGCCCCGTTCTTCTCCTTCATCATTCAGATGTTTGTTCTCTACTGCACCCTCTAGTAAAATAATGACATCTCCACAATAAAGTGTGTTTCAAACATTGCCCATAACCCAGGCTTTGAAAACTGTCCTGTAGGCTAAGGTATTGATGTCGTTCAAATATTCGAAGTCAAGTAGGGTTTCTGGGTTGATCCCTCAAGCTCATTTTTAGAAGAGAGAATTTATATGTTCTTTCCATTCGTTGTTGCCGAGTGGAGAATTCAATTTGTCTTTGTTAAAGACAAAGTTTGCAATTTTGAAAACTTATGCCACAGACTGAAATCATTCCTAAGCATTTTCCTCAGTGTCTTTCTTAATATGTTTACTGAATAGGTGGGAGTAAAAGGCAGAACTGTCTTTTATTCAATAGACCATTTTGCAACTGAAATTCTTACTTCAGTGTTTTATGCTATAAGCAAAAAAAAAAAAAAAAAAAAAATTTGTTGAACTACATTTTTTTTTTTCTCGTCTCTGGAATTGACACTGAATATAAATGGTCCAGAGATGTCTGCTTTCTCCTTTCATGTAGAGCAAAATTTTATTCATCTATGTGTGAAAACCAAAATTTTTCGGGGCCTAAGTAGCTGACTCCCACCCTGAAGTGTAGTGTCAGTTTATTTGACTCTTTGTTACTTCTCCGTTAGCACCTTAGACTTTATCTTTGCCAAACTGGCAGCTGCAGGTTTTAATGACATCCACTGTGCCAGTGAAACTCACTGTCAGAATTCTTTTTTTCAGAATCGCAGTGATTTTGACTTAGTAAAATATTTTATTTTTGCTTATAAAAATAAGTACTTTTAGTAAATAGTGGAGTGATTTTTAAAATCCGTTTTTGTTTTTAATTTTTTTTTTTATAGAGGCATGTTTTATTTATTCATTTATTTGTTTGTTTGTTTTGTTTATACATGCACTGGGCACAGTCAGAAGCACAGGAGGGTGAGAGGAATCACCAGAGCCAGAGCGGGGAGCAGAGCAGGCAGAAGGACCAAAGGACACTGCTGAGGGGAGCAGCGGGCGGCAGGAGAGGTCTGCGCGCCATGTGGGACCCTCCTCAGGTGGCCGGGGAGCAGCCGGGGATCGAACCGGCGCCTCAGAGGCCGCGGGCAGCTTCGCAACCCAGCGCTCAACCGCTGTGCCACCGGGGAGGCCCTAAAACCCGTTTTTGAACATCCCAGATGAATGAGAAATCCTCCGTGCCTCCTTCCCCCTCCCTCTCGCCTGCCCGCTCCTCTTCCTTTCTGTCCGTTCTCCTCTTTCTCTCAGCTCCAGAGTTATGGAAAACAATCATCATGAGCAGTTCTTTTCCTAAGTAAGACTGTAGAGTGGCTTGTTCACCTTCTCAGCTAGCTTTCTGGCCTGAGGACCTGTAGACTCCAGACACTGGAATGAATGTCCCCACCTCCCCTGCTTCTGCAGTCACCTCTCCCAGCAGCTTGGAGAACAGCCCAGTGCTCTTCTTGGGCCTGCGGTTGAGACTGCAGATGTCCGCTCAGCACTTATCCAAACGCAGAGACTGGGTGCTGTTGTCCACCCTGTCCTTTCCCGGACTGGAGAAGGCAGGGCTGGAATAGCAGGCCTCTGAAGAGATGCCTTGCAGTAAATCAGCACTTTCCACTACTCATCTGGGTGGTGTTCCTCCCTAAATTTTGACCCCAGAAACCCTGGAATATTCTTCAAATAGCCACTGGAGAAAGGCAGCTAAAATTATAGTTGTACATAATTTTTAAAATTAGAAGTCCCAACAGTTACTGAATGGGGCCTTGATCCAGGTCAGGACCACAGTCTTGGGGAAAACTTAAAATGCCACCTACCTGAAACCGCCTGTTTTCACACCAGTGTTTGATCATTGCTAGTTTTGAAAATTTGAGAGCTCTAAAAATGGGCAACCTGGAATAATATTTTATGTACTAGGGCAAATTACCACTAGCAATTTTGGGGACTCTCTGGATTCCACCCATCCCGTAATCCCCAGAGTCCAGACCCACCTCCCCGCTACACAGTGGAAAAGGAGCTGTCATCCAGCTGGAGGTGAGGACACTCGTGCTCGATGCCCACCAGATGCCCATGAGCAGGGGCAGGTGGATGCAGCTCAAAACCAGCCCTGGGAGCCACTGGCCTAGCCAAGGGCTCAAGGCCTGAGGGACAGGACCCACGCTAGCCAAGGGCACTGGCTCCTCCCAAAATACAACGTGATCCTGAATCCTTTGTTGATCAGGATTGACTAAAATAAGGGTGAACGGATCCACTGATACCATCACTGTTAACTGCCATTCCACGCCCAAGGCTACCCTGGCCATTGCCACAGTATTGCTCTCCACGCCTGTGTGGGCCTAGCACGCTAGTTCATGCCCAGGTTGCCAAATGCTTTCCGATGGCCCCGAGTGGACCTGGCTCGCACAGCCCAGGTCCAGTGGACTGTACTTTCCTGTGTGTCCAGTTATGAGCCACTGCTCCCTCAGTAGCCAACCCCATGACAGGGCTGGCTTGTGCCTTTGCTGTGCCCTCAGGAGAGGGTCTTATTCACGCAGCAGCTGGCTGAGAATGTGGAGAGATTCGTTGAATTCTCCGGTAGAGGGCGCTCCTTTGAGGAGAGCCCAGTCTCCAGAACCCTTGCTCTGGTGGACACCCCCACTTCCCACGGCCTCTTTCCTTCTGGGCCCAACCACCCACCTGCATGTTCTTCTCCAGGAAGCCCAGGTGGCAGCTCCCAGACCCGCCCTTCCACTTCGCGGCACTCTACTGCGTTGGGGTCAGAAATACCCAGTTACCATGCCTCCCCCCTCCCTGTGTCTCCTCCAGGTCGATCGTGGGGCGCAGGTTCTTCTTCATTATCGGGACCCTGTACCTGTACCGCTGCATCACCATGTATGTCACCACGCTGCCGGTGCCAGGCATGCACTTCCAGTGCGCCCCAAAGGTAAGCGCCGGGGCTGGGCTGTGCTCCGCCACTCGGCCTTCAGGCAAGTCTGGTGTCTTCAGACACTGCCCAACTTGTTAGCTGCAGTCAAGCTGATTTTCTGGTTTTCCTTAGTTTGGGGGGAAGAAATGAAAAACATGTCTCTCCTTTGTGCACAGACATTTCCTTTTCTGCTCCCTGAAAGTGGCCTTTGGGCATTTGTTTCTCTGCCTCCTCGCTTGCTCATTCAGCCATTTGTGATGCTGCAGGAGGCAGCATCCAGGCTCTGTAGGGACAGCAGAGGCCGGCCAGGGCAAGGGCCCCAGCTGGAACTCACATCCTGTGGTGGGATGAGGCTGAGACTTGAGCTTATCACTTGCTGCCTGATAGGACGGCAGCTGTCAGGTGAATAACGGGATGGGGTAGGTTGCAGGCACTCTGAGAGTAGGTACTGTTTTATAGAGAGGTCTGGAAAGATTTCTTTTTGCACAACAGTTTATATTTATTCCGTATTTACCATATATCAGACATGTACAAATTGCCGGTGCAATAACCTTGCCGGTGTACAAATCAACCCTCCTTGTCACCAGGTGAAGAAGGTGGTGGTCTTATCTTCATCTTATAGATGAGAAATCTGAGGCTTTGAAACTCAACTCTCTTCCTCCAGGTCACACAGCTTATAAGTGGGAGGATTTGAACTCAGACCCATCTGAACTTACACTTTTCATCTCTGCTTTCTTTTTTAGTTGTGTATTTTTTTTTTTAATTGAGGCAACTTTGGTTTGCAAGACTCTATATAATTTAGGGGTATAGGGCCACACCTCTCAGATGTATGTTGCCTCACCACACTCACCACCAGGTACCCATGAGCCTCCACCACCGTCTATGGGGCTACCTCTCCTCTTTGCGCTGGTGGCTTTAATTCTGCAGTCAGAGAGCTAGGCTTTCTTTCAGTTAAGTTTTCTCTTTTCCTTTTTTTTTTTTTTGGTTTTTTTTGTTTTTTGTTTTTTTATATCGTACACATGAGTAAAATCATTTAATATTTGTCTTTTCTCCTTCAGATTTATTTTGCTTAGCATAAACCCCTCTAGTTCCATCTATATTGTCACAAACAGCAAAAGTGTATCTTTTTGATAGCCAAGAAATATCCCATTGTGTATAAAGGCTATACCTTCATTTACTCCTTTATCATTGAACACTTAGATTGTTCCCTTAACTTGGCCATTTTAAAGGAAAGGCTTCTTTAATAAGAAAGCATTTGGACCGGAACCCAGATAAGGGAGAGAACCGCATGGATGGCCCAGAGCTCCACACCACAGAAATCGCTTTCGTTCTGGGTGTTCAAGAAGAGTAGGGAGACCAGTGTGGCTGCACCGTGTGGGCAGGGTAGAGGTGGGGCAGCCACAGACCTGTGCGCCCTGGTGGCCCATTGTTAGGGCTTGAACCTTGGTGGTAGAAGTGGCTTGACGAACACACATTTGATTTGGGGTACATCTTGAGGGGTGGGTCCACAGGAGGTGCTAATAACTTAGATATAGGTTTAAAAGAAAGAAGTGGAGGAGGACCTCAAAGTTTTTAGCAGTCGGGTAGATGGAACGGGCTGTTGCTGACATCGAGCGTGGGAGTAGAGGCTAGAATGAGCTGAAGCAGCTTCTCCAGGTAAAGTCAGCTCCCCAGACAGCTGTTAATCATCCGCGAGCCTAGGTGCCCTGGTTCATAAGAGAGGAATCTTACAAATCATGTGCTTTCTGGACAAGGGAACGAAGTCAAACATGTTATTTTATGGAACACTAAGCAGATGGCCAAAGTGGAGGGGAAAACAGAGTTGTCTGGAGGAGCCAGCAGCAGTCTCCCTCACCAAATATAGGTGTGGTTTGGAGAAGCTATAATTTTCCAACACCATCAAAGCAGAAAGTATCTGTAATTAAAACAGTGGACATAGTGAACTTAAACATGGGCTGATTTTTAGTAAAACTAATTTAAGGCAGCGGGGAAGTTCAGAAGCATAGTAAACAGCGCAGAGGGGTTATTGCAACGTGCGAAGTGAGGCGATGGCCTTGGGAAAGAAGGCAGGCCTATCCCGGTACCGAGGGGTTGGTTGGGGCTGATTACGGTGATTACAGAAAGCAAATTAAAGATTAGCCTCTGCGAAGAGTCGCCCTGCCCTGCGGCCAGTCAGTACACGTACAGCTGGACAGCTGGGTCTCCAGGCTGAAAACACTCAGGCAGACGCTCTCGTAGCATCCTTGCTCATCAGCCCCCAGCTCCAGGCGTCCAGCCGCTTACTTAGGCACACGCCGTTGCCTCTCTGACAACCACAGAAGCACCATGTGACGAGCTGGGGTGACAGAACAGTCAGGATCACCTCCTAGAGGTGGTGCAGCCCCGCCTTTGGAGGCCCCTCAGGTTGTTGTGGCTGCAGGCCTGTGGATGGTCTGCCTGCCTCCCTGCTGCCGACTCAATAGAAAGAAGCCCTTCCAGACCCTGAGAGTAAGCGACCCCTCGCTCAGGGACGGGGGAAGATGCACCATGGACGCCCAGCGCCAGGCACCACGTGGAGCTGCTGCCCACCGGTGCCATCACAGGTCTGGGCCCCTGGGTGGAACCCTCCACCTCTCCCTCCTCCACCCTGTGGTTTACTTCCTTCCGGTCTCACTTTCATCCGCCCACCCAGGCTGTGATAGGCAGTCACAACATGTGTGTTCTGGAAAGTGGGCTTTGGTGCACTCTAGAGCCGGTAGAAAGTGACTTAGCTTTCCAGACCCACACTGTGCTGGGCGGCCCCTCCCTCCCAGCCAGCCCCGGTGTCCAGCGGCATCTCTGGGGAATGGAAGGGCCGGTGTGGACAGCCAGGTTTCTGGTTTGGCAGCAGCCAGGTGGGGCTCTCTGGAACCATTTGTGTTTGTGGGAAATGGCATGGTGGTTACTGCTGGAGGAACAGGAAAAGCGTGAACCCAGTCTGCTCGCCCTTGGGTGGGTGTTTCTCTTCCTTGTCTGCACCTCCAGTGCCCCACCTGGGCACAGGGCAGAGCGATGCCAGGAAAATGAGCCGTAAAGAGTGTGTAAAGAGAGTGTAAAGAATGTGTAAAGAGAGTGTAAAGTGGTGCCCGGCGAGGAACCGGAACCAAACTAGGAAAAGTGTTCCAGGATGTCCCCCTCACCCCTGTCCACCCTGGCACCCCCGTTTTCTTTGGACCTCGATGTCTTCCTTTCTGGAGAGTTTGACAATTCTGCTGAGCACAAGACATCTGAGGGTGACAGGGTCGAGGAAGGAGGACCTGAGGACAGACGGCAAGGAGAGAAGGTCCTTTCCAGGCTCTGCAAAGACCGGAGGCCTCAAATGCACCCACATCTCCACGCCCCAGGGCGAGGACGGGGGCGGAGAAGATGTAGCACGTTAGTCCTGGTCTTGTCAACACTGCGTCCCCCTCACCCCAGCTGCCCGGAGGAAGGACGATGTCTTTGTGTTCCTGCCCTTAGAAAATCCGAGCCAGGTGGATTCGGAATGGGTAGGGAGATAAAAGAAAAATGACCGGGATTCTGAAATGGAGCAGAATGTGAGCCTTTCACCGGGGACACTCGGCTAGGCAGGCCCGCGCCCTCTCACGCCCTCTCTGCCGTGGCAGTTAGTTGTGTGTGCTGACTGTGGGGCAGGGGCCAGGGGGCGGGGCCAAGCTGGCGAAGGGCTGCTGGGTGAGCCCCGGGTTGCCGCAAAGTGTAGCCGCGCCACAGGATGCGTCCTCCACGGTGGAGTGGCCCGTAGAGACTGAGGAGTTAGCGCCTCGGGCATCCAGGGGCGAGTGGGACTCGGTCCTCGCGCTTTTCAGCTGCCCACTCACCGCGAGGCCCGAGGACACTTAGTGTGTCAATGATGCGGTTACACAGCCGGACAAGTGCCAGCCACCCCAAACCTGATGTCGCCCCCCAGAGGGGAGACATCCTGTTGCGTGGATCCCATGAATAAAACCCAGCTGGAGGCCTTCTCCCCTTGGATTCTTCCTCATACTTGGAGTTAGTAAAGAAAAACATTCACAACCTGGCGGCCTTTCGGGTTGCACAGACTGAGCTGGCACCTGGTCCCAGCCACTTGTGACCGTCCTGCCTGTCTTGTGTCTCCCAGCTCAACGGGGACTCGCAGGCCAAGGTGCAGCGGATCCTGCGGCTCATCTCGGGCGGCGGGCTGTCCATCACGGGCTCGCACATCTTGTGCGGGGACTTCCTCTTCAGTGGTCACACGGTCGTGCTCACCCTGACTTACCTGTTCATCAAAGAATGTAAGTAACCATGCCCCCCGCTGTATTCCTCGCTGCAGGGCTTCCTTGGCCTATGGGAGATGTGTCTGTTGGAACTGAGGGCTGTGAAGGAAGGAGACACATTCCTGGGGGCCTGCGTGCCTTCTGAAAGTCAGCCTGGAGCAGGCAGCCTGGCTCTTGGTAGCGAATGTCCTGCTGGTTGGGGAATCCTCCCCCGCCACTTTTGTTTTGTTTTGTTTTTCACCATACAAAGTTCAGAATGGTGCAGAATGGCAGGGCAGAGAGGTTTACTGTTTTTACCATTTCTAATTCAAAATTGTGTCTGTTCATTTTCTCTTGGCGTCAGCTAGGGCTCTCCCTGAGTGGGCGGTATTATCTATGGGTAGCTTGACAGGGGTTGTATTTTTATGGAAAGCAAAGCTAGGGCTGCCAGCCATGGATAAAACAGAGCAAACTTCTGGTTCATCCAAACATTTTCAACTTTTAAGGTAAATGTCAGATTTGCCTTCCCTTATAAGCAAGGGAAGCAGCACTGGTGAGACTTCAGGGAGGGGTGAAGTCTCTGGTGCTGGAGCATGGGTACTTGGGGAGCCTCTGAGATTTCTCAATGTTCAGTTTTTAACATGGTGAGCCTAACAGAACAGTGTGGGCACCAAATATGCCCCCAGGCTACACGAGTAGGGCCTCCCCCAGCTTCCAAGTTCTTGGATTGTATGAAACACCCACCAGAACCAGTGGCAGGAGGACCCAAAGGGGAGATAAGGGCTGCACGTTCACAATCCGAGGTGAGGTCCACCTCCCTCCCGGCGCTGCAGGGAGGCTGCGGTGTGAGGTGCTGTTTGACTTACAGCTGAGCCACGTCATCAGCGTCTCCAGGTGTCACTCGGGGGTTAAACCCCGAGGTGAAAGGGCAAGGCCATTCCAGGAGAGACTGTGGGGAGTCAGAGCATCGCTCGCCACAGGCCCCGGTTCCCAGGCGCGCTCATCGTGAGGCTCAGGAGAGCGGGCTTGCTCCCGTGCTCTCACTGCCTGCATATCCGTAGCCGGCTTCCTTTCCCTCGTCCCCACTGTTTCCCTTGGCAGTGGCGTCCCCTTGTGAGAGGTCTGAGCCAGTGCCCAGCACCCTCATGTGGATGGGCTTGGGGCGCCTCCTTACTAACTGGTATGGCCAGGACTGCAGCCCCGGAGACTGGCTGTGCCCACCCGCCCCTCACTGTGAACCTTCCAGTTGGCTCATCCGCTTTCTCCTCCCCGTGACTGGCTGGCCTTGGCTGATTCCAATCAGGGTCACTGGGACCCGTGGCAGTCAGTGGGTTGGTCTGGGGGACACTCCCAAACACAATGACGCCCCTGTCTTGTAGACTCGCCCCGTCACTTCTGGTGGTACCATCTGATCTGCTGGCTGCTGAGCTCGGCGGGCATCATCTGCATCCTGGTGGCGCACGAGCACTACACGGTGGACGTGATCGTTGCCTACTACATCACCACGCGCCTGTTCTGGTGGTACCACTCCATGGCCAACGAAAAGGTGAGCGGCGGGGGGTCTTGGATGGCCACACGGTGGCCTGGGGTCGCGTTCTGGGAACAGCTACCCCCATGCAGCCTTGACGCTTCGCTTACGTGTGTAGCTGTTACTGCTTCTCAACATAAAGAACGGCACAAGTAGGAAGGACGGCTTCGAGTAACAGTGCAGTGTAACACTACGCAAGGCTTTACTGGTCACTTAAGTGAGTTGACGTCATATGCAAAATTCAAATTCAGGAGCCTTCTCTGTAGAAGCATTGCCCTTCTCCAGACCCTCCTGCCATCAGAGCACTTAATTTTGATGGTAAGAGGGTGACTATTTAAGTCAGAGAAAATAAGTAATGCGCGACCTTCCCTGGATTTGGCATGTCCTCTGAGAGTGCACGCCATTTGTATCCCTCCTTGTTTGTTGGTGCTGGCTCCTCTTCCTGGGTGGCTTCTTCCCTTCTCCCACTGATTCTGAAAGAGTTGGCTTGAATGCCGCCTCTTCCAGGAAGCCTTCCTTAACTCCTTCTATTGCTCCAACATGGGACTATTCCACCCCTTCTCTGTTCCTAGTCCTGGTGTATGGCTTTGATGGAACAGAGTGCCTGTGTGGCAAGGTTCCATGGGGACAATCTCGCCACATTTCTATCTTGTATAATTTTTTTGTTGAGATAATATTGGTTTACAATGCTGTATATGATTTCGGGGGACAGGTTCACAGCCCTTCAGATGTCTGTCACCACACCACACCCACCATCAGAGCCCCCATCACCCTGCATCCTAGGCCACTGGTGCCCTTCCCCCTTCCTCTCCTTACCCCCCCACCCCCCGCCGCCCCCAATAGCCTCTAGTAGTCAGACCTGTAGGTTCGTAGCTTAGTTTTGTCTGGCCCTTGGTTTGGTTTCTCCATATTCCACATCATGACACCATCCGCTTTCTGTCTTTCTCCTTCTGATCTCACTTAGCATCATCCCCTCCAGCTGCAGCCATGAGTGTTGCCTAGTTCTCACACATAAAATGTTCAGATTCCCTCCACCATCCATTGCCCTGAGCCTGCAGACCTGCTCGCACACACCCTGCAAATCACTCTCTGGACAATGCTCACACCTGGCAGCCATCCGTCTCCATCCTACTGGAGCTGCAGGGCATGCTCTGCATGTGTCCCCCACCTGGGGCAGGGGCGGGCCAGCGTGTCAGGGCACAGGAGGGGACCGCACCTGTCACAGCAAGTGGCCATTATGAGACAAAGATAGGCTGCGAGTCAGGGCAAGTTCATCTCACACCCCTTCTTTCCTGCCTTCCACAGAACCTGAAGGTCTCCTCACAGACCAACTTCTTGTCTCGAGCCTGGTGGTTCCCCATCTTTTATTTTTTTGAGAAAAACGTGCAAGGCTCCATTCCATGCTGCTTCTCCTGGCCGCTCTCCTGGCCGCCCGGCTGCTTCAAGTCATCGTGCAAAAAGTATTCCCGGGTCCAGAAGATCGGGGAGGACAACGAGAAATGCACCTGAGAGCACCGCAGAGGCAAGCCTCCCAGCAAGAAGGGGCGTCGCTGCAACCAAAGGTATAGTTTTGTCTTTTGTTTTAGGAGAACTGACTGGGAAAGAAGACACGGACCCAAGGGTCTGTGAGTGTGGGAAAGATGGACGCAGCGCTGCCCCGTGGCGGGTTCTGGATCCATCCCGACAAACACCTCTGCTCCCGCGGCTCTTCATCCTCCGTCACCGGCCCTCGACCCGGACCTCTCTGCCGAGCTGGATTAAGGCGTGCCAAAGAACACACCCCTCTCCTTAGTCTTTCTCCAGCAAGTGCTCGACTGCAGACAGTTTTCTGGATTATTTTTCCTTCCGAGATCAGAAGATTTGTTAATGTTTTAAATAAAATATCTGGATCTATCTAGCTGCCGTGTAAATAGACTACCGATACGCTGAGAGTGGGTTCCAGCACTAGGTTTACTTACAGCCAGGGGCGTTCTGTAGCCCCCAGGGTGAAAGGTCTGCTGCAGGCCTGGGAACAAGCATGACTGCTCCCCCCACCCCCAGCACGATGTATCACTTTTATTTTTATTATAACAAAGAAAGATGATCTAAGTACACGAGGAAGTGCCTGACACACCCCAGGACGCCCATGTGTGTGGAAGGTTGAATCTAAGGTCTCCAGGACAGGCGCTTGGGACCCAAGCCGTCTCTGCTGAGGGTCCCCCTCGCTTGGTAAATTGGCATCTGAGCCCGCAGGGCAGTCGGCACCACGCATGGCCGTGCGGACCTGCACTCACAGCCTGGCGGTTGGGCCGTGAGGTGGGGTCAGAGCTGCTCATTGAACTCAGAATCCAGGGCCGCGCATCGGGAAGGGCTTCTTCTGAGTGACAGCGTGCTTGGCGGGAATTCAAGGCAGACCTGACATTCCTGTGTCCTTGCCTCTCTGACCCACCGCTCCTGTGGACGCGAGCCACGGCTGAGGCCTCCGCTTGGCCCCTGAGGTGCGGCATGTGCTCAGTTGCTCCTGCACTTGCCTCGGAGGGCCAGGGCCCCAGCGACTTGGTCAAGGGGATGATCGTTTCTAATGTCCTTGCAGGTGATGCAAAAAAGACGGAGTATCAAACATAAGTTCCGATTTGATGCTGTCCCATGTAGCGCGTTGCTGAAGGCCGCTGGGTCTTTCAGACAATTCTTGGCTGAATTTCTTAGGATTTCTAGTCCCCTTAGAAAAACACCAAAGACTCCAAAATCCTCACTGCTGCGTCAGGGTGCGGCGAGGCCACAGGGTAGGACGAGGCCGTTCCATTTCCACTGGAGGCGGAAATTTCCTGCGCTTAGGATGGAAACCGTCTCGGGCCACTTCTCAGCATACACAGCTTGACTCCACACACGAAACTGACCTTTCGATTGTAAGCACATTGCAGACCCGCTCGGAAGAGCCATCCCCCCTCTGGTGCTAAAATTCTGCACGTTTTCAGTGTGGCTGCTCCTCGTGCAACAGAATCACGGAGGGAAAGGGACTTTGCAAATGGCGGGAAGAAAACCCCACTCTGGTTATTTCCACAAGATGGGAAACCTGAACATCCTTGGCCGCCGCTTACCTGCGTCCTCTTCACTGCTTTCCCTGTATTAGATGCTGACCCGGTGCCAGGGCGGGGTGCTGTGCTGGGAGCACTCAGGTGGAATCGTGCCATCTGAGGGCGAGTGAAGCGTCTGCCCCCAGCTGGGGTCATTCCTCGAGCCTCTCCTTCCCAGAGACCACCCGGAGCACGGGGCGGCCTCACTCAGCTGCGTCTGGGTAACCCGCTCTTGGTGTGCGAGCCTCAGCCGGCACATGTGCTGCTGTGGGGGAGCCTTCGGCAGTAAATCCGGCTCTGCAGTCGATCATCAGTTGGTTTTTTCTTTAAAAAATCCCACCATTACCTTTTAAAGAACTTTTAAAAGTCTGTGACCCTGTGTTCTTGCCATGTTTATTCCCAGGTCTCTCCAATGCCAAGAAAGCACGTGGGTTGAAAATGGGAGGGTGGGATGGGGGTCGGGGGTCTCCCTCAGACTTTTGAGATGGGAGCATGAGAGAAAGTGTGGGACTCGTTTACCGAAGACAGCAAAGCTGAGGTCTACCCGGCATGCCTCTTCGCGATAAAACACCCACCATTGCAACCTTGCCTCGAGAACATCAAATTTGGGAGCTTCTTGTTCTCACTAGTTAAGATACAAGGTCTCCATTATCCTTGTTTTTGTAAAACCAGCACTCCTGTGTGACGCTTTCCCTGCAGTCGACGCCTTTCGTGCAATATCCCTAACACATAATTCCTACAGAGGAGGCCACGTTTTTGAAATTCTTTCAAATGGAAATGAATTCCTCCGGGAGTATGGTTTTTGAGCTCTCCCTCTAGCTCTGAAAAGAAAGCATTCTTCCCCAGTTCCACCTGAAGTCATTTTGAATCTGTTATTTAATTTACTGGCATCTCGGGAAGCAGCTTTTGCTGTGGAAGACAGACTGCTGACAGTGAGCCGGAGCTGGTTTAGGGCCAGACCGGAGGCAGCTTCTTTGCTATACACCAGTGCCCCCTGGTGGACGCGTGGTATACACCTTGCCACGCAAACGCCCATTTTTAAAAGTGTGTCTTCAAGACGGTAAAAGGCTTTTGTTTGGTATTTTTTGCCAGTCATCTGAAAGCATCACATGGGAGAAGTGATTTTACAGATATTTGAAACCCTTCCGAAAGGTAAATGGGCTTAGATCACAGGGAGTGGCAATTCAAATCTTTTATCCATTCAATTGAAGAAAATTTGCAGACCATTTTTACCTCTGTCATGGTCATTAATAGCGCCCTTTATAACTATGTACACTTTGTTTACTTTGAAACACCACATTGACTTACTTTTTTTTTACATGAAAATCTGCTGCAACTCAAGTGTTTCTTTTTTAATGTTCACATTTTGTTCCTGAATATTTTGAACATTTATTAAGTTCTTGTTGTTTTGCACTGTAAAATTGATTAAAAATTTAAACTTGTTTTAATATACTCACTTCTGTAGGGTAAGGAAATGTGAGGAGGAATTTCTTAATAGGTTTACATGTTTAAATCAAGCATATTACAGGTAATATGCCATGTGTTGAAGGCTTTTCTATTTGTAAAGATTCCTGATATTTTTATGCCATTTGTTGCAATAATTTAACTTCTTTGACTGACTTGCTACAGATATTTCTTGTATTAAGAAGTGCTCTTGATTTCACTACCTGAATACTGAAAATCATGTCAAAGGTACCCAAAGATAAATTTTTATACAGATACACACACACCTTGTACATTCTGATTTATTTTATTACTCATTAATCCAACTTTGCTGTGTTCTAAATGAATCATGGCTGAGAAAGTTTTTTTTTTTTATTGAGGAATTATTTAAAACTATCATTTAAAAGAAAAAGAAACTGTAAGAATAAGCTAATTTCATTGCCAAGTTGGAAGTCATTATTTAAGTTACCTCCTATGCAATGATTAATGCTGCAAAATGTACAGTATGTTACAGTATATTCCTAAAAGAAATACTACAAGGTTCGAGAGGGAGGCAGTGGCATTCTTTCAGAAATTTACTGTAGTGTTTTCAATGTGTTAAGTGCCTTGTTGTAAAGTAAAAATTTAAGTCTAGAACTCATTATTTTCTTGACATATATTTTTCATTATGACATATACTGGATGCTATTGTAATAGTTTTGTTTATATGCCTCTGTTTAATCTGACATGTAAATGTCAAACTCTTCTCCTGCCCTCCATACTTTAATTGTTGGTCTTTGACATGGGATTTAAATCCATTTCTCTTCTTAAAAAGAGGGAATGGTCTTCATTCAGAACTCTGTTTTCCATGCTTGAGCTTTGGTGTTGTAAAAACATTTCAGGAGGGACAGAGCGGTGTAACTATAATTTGTACTTCAAAATGCTGTTTCGCATTGACATTTTAAGTGCCTAATTGTTAGTTAAAACTAATTTATGTTTCTATTCCCAAGAGAATATGTGTACTGGGTTTCTAATCTCTCTGGCTTTGCAAGAGCCTGTACTTTGTATTTACCCAATAAATGCCAGCAACATCAATAGTCTTTTCAAAATTTGTATTATTACCGTCCCTTTCCATTTAAATATGTCTTGTTTTCTTTAAAGATTTTTAAAACTGTGCTTTTCCAAATGTATTTAGTTGGAAGTACTTACTAAATTTCCAGAGGGCTATTTTCTTCAAGCACTACTTTTTTTAAAAAAAAGATTTATTTATTTATGTATAGAAGAGCTGGGGTACAGGCCAGAGGTGTGGGAGGTGAAAGGATTCACCAGATACAGAGCAGGGAAGAGAACAGGCAGATAGACTGAAGTACACTGCTGAGGGGAGCGGTGGGCGAGTCAGGAGAGGTCTGCTGCACCATGGGGGTAGCTCCCTGGCCGGCCGCGGGGCTCAAACTCATGCTGCAGAGGCTGCAGACAGCTTCATAGCACTGCACCTAACCCGCTGTGCCACCAGGGAGCCTCCCAAGCACTACTTTTAAATTAAGCTGATAACCTCAGTGACCATCAGTGATTGGAGGTGAAAAACCATTCACAGCCCTGTCGGTCATCTGTGGAGAAGAAAGATATCAGTCCCAGACTCTGAGTCTCTCTCCCAGAGGGGGTCCAGGGAGAGGTCCCCAACTAGACTTGGTGGGCATTGGGCAGCAGATTGGGTTTCGGTGGCAGGGAGCTGCTACGGATGCCTGGATCAAAGACAAGGGTGGCCTGCAAAGACAAACCTAGTCAAAGTCAGGCAGTGGAGGAGGAAGTGGGATGCTAGTACGGTCCAAAGATTAAACAGCTGGTTGTGGCCCAGGTTACTTTGGAAATGAAGTGCCCCCACAGTGACGATTCATTCACGTCAACTAAATGCTGGACAGTGTCTCATTTCACCTCGTCCTTAGGCACATTTATTATCCCGGTTTCAGGGTGGTCACAGGGACACTCAGCATATAAAGAAACACAGAAACACCGCATATAGGAAACACTCAAATTGGTAAATATGAAGTAAGTCATAAGGACTCAAAGGAAATGAAGCGGTAATTTTTTCAGTGGCTGGAGCGGAGCCACCAGTGGAACAAGCAGTGTGTCAACTCCGCTTTTCGTCAGCATTTTGCAAGCTATTTCAGCCAGAGCCCTCTCTGTTCATGCTCACCGGCTGTGAGTGGCTGCAACTCATGGCGTTGCCCTCCCAGGAATTACAAACCAGCTGGACCATTGTCATTTTATAAATAGAGTAACTCAACACTAGTGTGGTAGCCAGTAAGAAGTACTTAGGTGTTTTGGATATATTGTTACCAACAATTCTGGCCCAAATCCATGTACAGCAAGGATTTCGGTGGGAAAGTTAGCGGTTTACAATTATCTATAGGAATTCAATTAAAAAAATGAGGTTTTTTTTTTCCCCCCACCTAAATGGTTTCCTTGCCTTCCTATCTCCTCTCCCCAATGCTAACAGAATCATCTCTTGGCATTCCCCTCCTTTACTGTAACTGGTTATTTAAACTAGATAGGACAGAGCAGAAAGTATGCCTTTTTCTGGCAAGAAAGCCCTGACTATAATTTGGGAAATTTTACCCCTAAAGCACTGGATGCATACGGGGCTTCGTGCTACAGGAGTCCATCATCCACCATGTGGACTGTATGGCTTCCTGTATTAGTGTGTGAGGGCTGCCTAAAAAACTACTCTCTCGGGTGCCTGAAACAACAGAAAAGTGTTTCCTCACGGTTCCGGAGTCTAGAGGTCCAAGATCAAGTGTGGGCTGGGGTGGGTCTGCAGCGCCTCTGTCCTCGGCTTGCAGGTATCCTCGGCCCGTGTCTTCAGTTGGTCTTCTCTTGGGCTGCGTGTGTCCTAGCTGCCTCTTCTCAGAAGGACACAGTCCAATTCGAGTCCGTGTCTACGGCCTCATGTTACCTCCGGTACCTCTCTAAAGGCCCTTCTCCAGCACAGGCACATCCCGAGGCACCAGGCTTTTGGGCTTCCACACAGGGATTTGGGGTGAACACAGCTGAGCCCATCACAGCTGCACCACAGAGCTGTTAACCTGGCGACACAGGGACTCTTTAGGAAAATGGAATGAAAGCAGCTGCATATTACACAATACAAGTGGACCTGCTGGGTTTGGTAAAATCATCCGTGAGTATAAGTCGCAAGGGAAAATGTCAGCAGCTACTATCTTTGTTTAGCTACTAAGCAAAACTTTGAACAGAATCAGATGACATGTTGAAGATCATCTTTGTAAGCAAATGACTTAAAGTTTTAAAATTCTCCAAAAAGGAGAAAAGTGACTTCTCAGCTAACGGGGTTAATATGGAAGTTAGGTGTGTTTTGCTGCTAAGTGCATGAAGGAAAAGCATGGCCAGAAAAAGGTTACAATAGGAGACTTGAAGTTTAATCCTATTCATCACTTGTTCACAGAAAAGAGCAGAGGGACTCACAGAATGAAGACTCCCCAGTATACTTCGGCCTCCGGAGAGCAGGGCGGCCTTCAAACTTGCAGTGTGTGGAGAATAAAAAGGATCAGGCACGGGGAAACAGATGCATTCCCTACAGTCACCTACGTCCATTCATACAAAACTGACCTTTCCGTAGATCAAGCTGGCTTAGGAGCAACCCTAAGCTGTGTGGACCCAACAAGGAGGCGTAACCCCAGGATTTAGCTGGTGCAAGACGCAGGGAAAAATGTGCCCAGGAGCCTTTACGAAGGAAACTCAAAAAGGACTTCGTCTTCAAAGTGAGTTTAAATTCACACTTGGAATCTCAACGCGGGCCTGGCGCATTCGGGCTGTCGGCAGTAACTACCCTGCCCCCCCCCCCCCAACTTTCATAGGTCAGTTACTTCGGTGCTCTCCCCCAGTCCTGGATCAGCTCTGCGGCCTCACCCAGGTCACTCGCCTCGCACAGGAATGGGGTGGGCTGGGGGGCTGGGGGTGTCTCCGGTCTCTGGAGAGTCCTAAGCACCGGCGTCCGGCCCAAGGTCAGCGTTCCCTGCCCCGCCCCCCCCCGGCCCCCCCAGTGCAGACAGACGGTCACCTGCAGCCCACGTCCTGCTCACCGCGTTCCCGCCGCGTCTGGGGGAGGCCGGGCCTGGCATCCAGGGGTCCGGGCCTGGGGTGGGCGCCTCCTGCCTTGCTGGGGTCCGGGTGCTGGGGCCCCGCGTCACGCGGTCGGGCGCTGGCCTGCGCCGCGCGCCTCCGGGTTTCCAGGGCGGCCGCGCGGGGGGTGTGCGGGGGGCAGCGCGCGGGAGCCCCGGGCTTTGGGGGCCCCCTCGCCGCGGGCGCGCCCGCCTCGGGGCGGCGTCGCGATGGGAGGCGCGCCGGGACGCAGCCAATCCGCGGCCCGGGCGCGCTGCTCCCGCCCCCCCCCCCCCCGCGCGGCCTCGGCCGGCTGCGTGCGCTCTCCCGGGCGGGCTCCGCGCGCGCCCCGCCATGGCCTCTCCCGGGGCGCCCGAGCCCCCCGCCCCAGGGGCGCCCCCCTCGGCGCGCGAGCCGCCCGGGCCCGGCGGGGCGCCGCTGCCGCTGCTGCTGCCGCTGCTGCTCGGCCTGGCCGCGCTGCTCGGCTGGGGCTGGCGCCGGCGCCTCCGCGCGCGGGGCATCCCGCCGGGGCCCGCGCCCTGGCCCGTGGTGGGCAACTTCGGCTTCGTGCTGCTGCCGCCCTTCCTGCGCGGGCGCACGCGGCTGTCCCGGCGCGCCGGGGCCGCGGGCGTGGAGCCGGGCGCCGCGGGCCCGCAGCTGATCCTGGCCGACCTGGCGCGCGTCTACGGCGACGTGTGCAGCTTCTTCATCGGCCACTACCTGGTGGTGGTCCTCAACGACTTCCGCAGCGTGCGCCAGGCGCTCGTGCAGCAGGCCGACGTCTTCAGCGACCGCCCGCGCGTGCCCCTGGTCTCCATCCTCACCAAGGAGAAGGGTGAGCGCTCAGGCCGCCGGGCGGGGGGCGCGGGCGGGGGCGCGGGGCTGCGCGGCCTGTGGACCCCGCGCCCGGAGGCGCTGGCGCGGCGCCCCCTGTCCTGGTGTCTTTTGAGATCTCACCGCCCTCAGGGGCCGGCGAGGCCCTCAAAGCCCCTGTCACAGGCGGGGGACCCCCTGGGAAGTGGGACGTGGGGATGGCGTGGCGCAGGCTCGGCCTTCCAGGCGCTTTGCAGGCCCGCCTGGAACCAGGCCTCTGCGCTCAGGCTGCGTCCCCGGGAGCAGCGGTGGCCGCGTTCGGAAAAAAGCGCATTTTCCTTTCAGCTTCTGAGTTTGAAGGGCATGGGTGGCCCCATAAACTGGAAAGTCCAGGAAACACCTTAGGAACCTGTTGGCAAACTGAGTGGGGAGGGGGTGCTGTACCCCCGGTTCGGCCGTGGGTCACTCTTGCAGGCTGGGAGACGTGTTGTCTGCTGCAAACAACGTATTGGCCTTTTACCCACTTTAGCTATTTAATTGATTGATTACTTTACTATTAATGTTCGGCTTCATTATCTTCCCCTTCTTGTTGGCTGCTTGGGACCCAGACATTTCTGTCCTGGCGGTGTTGGGCAGCAGTCCGCCGGGGGTCACTTCTAAGTCTTTCCCTCAGGGAGTGCTTTCTCCCTCCCCCCACCCAAGCTGGGCTCCCTGAGGTGTCCTGGCAGGAGGACTTTTTGGCCCCTGCAATATCTAAAGGAGCCTGGGTCATTGGGGACCTGGGGCCTGTGTGTGGGGGTTGCATACCAGCCTGGCATCCGGGAGGCCCGTCCCCCCTGCCCCGCCTCACACGGTACAGAAGCCCCCGAAGCATTTAGTGAATGAGCTGGTGCTTCCAGCCAGAGACCCAGGCTCTTTAGAACCAGATGGTTCTGCAGCAGGCTTGTTACTGCAGAGCAGTGAAGATTAATGAAGATCCTGATACTGGCATGACCCTCCGAAACACATGCGTGGGGCCGTAGTTCCCGCTGTGCCTGCTGCTGCTTCTCCCCGCACCTCTGTCCCCGTCTCATGGCCGCCTGCATTTCTTTTCTCTCTTTTTAGAAAAATCATGACGTCCACAGAGCCTACATTTTACCACCTCGGCCATCTTGCCATGCGCAGTCAGTGGCAGGAAGTCACATGCGCTGTGAAACCATCACCCCATCATAGGGTTCTTCTCGTCGCCAAACATGAGACTTTGTGCCCGTTAGACAAACGTTCAAACACCCTCTCTCTGTCTCTCCCGCCTCTGGCACCACTTCCTGCGCCCTGTCTCCCTGGATTAGACTGTTCTGGACGTCCCAGAAGGGGGATCTTAGGGTGTCTTGGTCATGATGTGGCTGGCGTCTGGCACTGCGCAGGACACTGTCAGGCTCGTGCCTGCTGCAGCCTGTGTGAGAACTGCCTGACTCTTTAAGACTGAGGGGTACTCCCCCGTGAGTGCAGACCGTGGCTGGGCTAGCCGTTCCCAGTGGACACTTCCCTCTGGCGCTTGTGAAAAGTGTGGCTGTGAGCCTGGTGAGTATAGAAATGCCTGTTCAAGTCCCAACTTCCAGGTTTTTTAGGTGTAAACTCAGACGTGGCATCACTTGACCCCATGGCCACGGCTTAAGTCTCTGCAGAGCCGCCCTGCTGTTTTCCAAGCTGCACCACTTGGCACCAGCAGGGACAGGGGCTGGGTCCACCCTCACCAACACAAGTGACTTTCTAGATTTTTCCTCAGACCTGCTGAAGTGTCATCTCCTTGAGAGTCTGTTCCCCGACATACTTCTGAAGCCCCATGGAGAGGTGAACTCCCCCTTTCTCCACAGCACCACTGTTTCATCCTAACCCCTCCCCACCAGCCCTGCGCCAGTCAGCCAGCTCGTCCTCAGTGCCTCTGCAGGCAGCCCCCCCCCCCGCCCCCCGTGCCGTCACATCTCTCCATCCATCTCTCGTCCCAGCCACCACGCGTCTCAGCTGCTGCTCAGACGCCCCTTCTCTCGCCTCCTTGGCTCTGCTCACATCTTTCAGCCTCACAGCCAAAGGGATCACTTTAAAAAAAAAAAAAACAAACCTGCCGTGAACCGGCCATGGGGCTCCTCAGCTCCTCGCCCTGCTGTGAGGTGGCTGGCCTGGTCGGCCTTCCTGACTCTCTCTCTGTCCACGCTCCTTACCTGCCATTGCCACCTGCTCTGGACACACCAAGCTGGTTCCTGCCCAGCGGAGCGGATGCAGGAACCTGGGTTAGTCACTGCCACTCACTCTACCTCATTGAGATTTTACTCATGAGCACAGGGAGGGGATCTGACGACCACCTCTGGAATGTGAGCTCCGGGAGCGAAGGTTGGTTCACTTTGCTGTTCGTTCACCGTCTCCCCAGGAGCTGGCATGGGGCGGTGATCGGGAGGGGAACGGTGCCTACAGCATCTGTGCACCCCTGGGCCACGTTGTGATGAAATTCATGCTGCAGTTTCTTCTAGCATTTCAGGGTGGCATTACATTTTCTTCTTCAAGGTCCTTTTTAGTGGGTATGTAGTTTAGTCAGCAATCTGTAGTAAGGTGGGCCCCATCTTTCAGCTGGAGACTAGTACAGTTTATCAGATGCCCCTTAACGTAGGAACAGACTAGAAGCCAGCTGAGTTGTGCTTCTGTATCTGACAGCACCACTTCTCCCACGAGATAGGGGCTTTTAGGCAATGCTGCTCTTATTCAAGTGGAGGTAGGTTGGGCTAATGTGCTGTGAAAGAACCGAGAGACATTTCTATTGCTGGCGAAGCTGATTGGCCTGAGATGGTAGAGCCAGAACCCACAGAAATGTCTGTGGATTAACTGGGCCAGAGAACAGATGAGTGGACAGATGAGGAATTTTTTCTTTTTTTGGTGGAGCTTTTCAGGAGTGCAGAGTGAAGGGGAGTGAGCTTATTTCCAGATGCCCATGGAAGAGTGAGGGGACAGGGGCCTCGTGAGCAGAGCTCAGGGTCAGCCTGAAGGAGACAGACCCCAGTGATGCAGTTGGCCAGGCTCTGCCCACCCTCCCACCCCTCCCCTACGGTTTCCAGGGGCAACACTGTCAAGTGTAAACTGTCCAGGAACAAGATGGGCAGACGATTCTGCAAGAGAACTGCTGCTAGGAAATAGAGGCCCGCAGCCCATTTCTCTGAGATGTTGGGAGGAGCTAATCTCTCTGGACGTGGTCCTTTTTACTTTGCAGCTGGTTTGCCAAACCTGTGGATGGATTTGTGAGGCTCACTTCTGTTGTTTTTTCACTCGAAGGGGTGTGGTTTCAAATTCCTTTGCATTTTGTTCCTGTCTGTGTCTTTAGCACCAAAATGAATGCGTTTTATACCAGAAGGTCATTCAAGCTCGTTCTGGAAGTAGGCTGACCAGACAGGTCATTGGCCCTTTAATGACATGAGCGCTGCTGTGGCGCGAGGCCACACGTGGACAAAGTTTCATGATAAGTAGCGTCCTGGGGACTCGGGGTGTCAGGGTCACCGGTTTAATCAGGAAGTTCCCCAGTACCCTTCAGGGTCCCTCCTGTCCCTTCTCTCTGGTCAGTGCTCCTGGGCAGTCCTCCTTTGGATCTGCTTGTCCCAACACGCACCGTGGCTGCCAGTCTGTATTCATGCTGGCGTGCTGAATTCTCCATTGGTACGCATGACCTTCCTTGTGTAAAATGTTTTTATTCTTTAACAAATCATTCTTGAGCAGGGAGTGCATTCTTACGCTTGGTTAATGAGAAGAAATAGCATCAGGATAAAAACCTCTATACCCATTTTCCTCTGGCCCCCGCCCTCCCATCACCTTCCTGGTGTCATGGTCCCTCCCTCGGTGCCCTTACAGGCGTGAGCCTGGGCAGCAGCCGGTGGCTAGGCCCAAGCGTGGATTGTATAACTTCTTCAGATGATTTCTGCTGAGGTTCTGCTGTCACCCCCACGACAGTGAGGCGAGCGGCAGCCTCAGCATGTCTGTCAGCACGGGACACTGGAGACCCAGGACTTGTGTTCTCGCTGCTCAGTGTGCGTTCTCTGTCCCCGGAAACCACGGCACAGAGCCCTTGAGAACTAGAGCCAGCATGGGTCGGGGCCCGGGCTGCCCCGTGCAGCCATTTCATTCTGCAAGAAAGAAAGTCGACACCTGGGTCACTTCAGTGTCTTTCCCCAAAGCCACGGCGCTGGCCGGTGGCAGAGCATGTGCTGTGATTTCTGCACTGTCCTGCTCAAGTTCCACGACATCGCCCGTGTGTCATGGAGCAAGGGACTCTGGAATTCCCTCCCGAAGGGGCATCTGGCTCCCGGGAGGACGGTCAGGGTCAGGCAACCCCAAGGTGCTTCGCTGCTCTTGTGGTGCCAGTGCAGGTGTGCTGGGGGCCAGCTGGCAATGCTGGCTGGAGAAAAGGGGCTGCCTGAACACCCTTCACCTTTCCGCTTATGACCTCAAGTAGAGACCGAGCAGAAACATGGGCAGAGAGGCCGCAAGGCAGTGGTGAGGAGGGTCCACTAGTGAAGCCCCAATTTTCTAACATTCCAGCTCTAACATTCCTTCCTCTCCTGTGGGGTTAACGAGCTGTCGTCTTACTGGCGCAGGGAAGTTAGGGTACACCCCTGGGCCTACATGAGGTTGAAAGAGTGTCCTGCAAAGGGCAGAACTTTGGGGCGACTGCACCAAGGCTCCGTCATCTGGCCGTCCCATCTGGCAAGGCTGTGATTGGTGCTGCCCGGGGGCCACCTTCGACCAATATGTTGGGCAATTTTTGTGATATCTAGTTCAAGCCTCTGCCCGTAGGCAAGCCCTCCGGCGGCCTGCCCGTGAGGTGGACTGCGCGGGGCTCTCGGGCGGGGCTCCTCGTGGAGCTCACCTGGCTGAGGGTCAGGAGGCGCCGTGCGGGACTGTCAGCGCCTTCCCACCCTGAGGCCCGCGCAAGTGCACTTTGCCTGTTCTGAACACAAGTGCCGGGCTAATACTCAGCCGTGCTGGCGGGGAGGTCCGTAGGCGGGG